TAAGCATTCGGCTGGTTAAGCTTCAGGCTTTGTAGCAGCATAGTTCAGCTGGGATTCATTCTGGATGAGGACTCAGAGGCTTCCAGTCTGAGGAAACAGGACCAGCTGAGGAACTGGTGAGGTGAGATAGCTGTGGCTTGTTCTGTCTCTCTGATCTACCAGCATTGACCCCAATAACTCGCCTCAGGTTTGATTTACTAGTAAGAACCTTTAAGATTCATGCTACAACTTCTTCTTCTTCTTTTTTTTTTTAAATGTTTTTGAGACAGGGTTTCTCTGTGTAGCTTTGAGCGTATTCCCGGAACTCACTCTGTAGCCCAGGCTGGCCTCGAACTCACAAATATCCACCTGCCTCCGCCTCCCAAGTGCTGGGATTAAAGGTGTGCGCCACCACCCGGCCATTATGTGACTTCTTAATTACTGCAACCACATGGCACAATAGAAAATGGTGACACCTATAAAATTCCTGAGTCTTCAGATGATTTATACTTATGAGGTGGCATTAGAGTTCCATGGTGTGCTTGCTTTGATTTTTGTTGTTGTTGTTGTTGTTCATTTGTTTGATTTTTCGAGACAGGGTTTCCCTGTGTATCCTTGGCTGTCCTGGAATTCACTCTGTAGACCAGGCTGGCCTCAAACTCACAGAGATCTGCCTGCCTCTGCCTCTCAAGTGCTGGGATTAAAGGTGTGCAACACCACTGCCCATTGCTTTGATTAATTTTTAACATATTGCTTCATCTGATGTATTCTGGCTTCCATAGGGGAGTGAAGAATTTTCTTAGCTGCATGCCTCCAACACTAGCCAGGAATCCAATAAAGTTCCTAGTCCTCTACAATGGTTAGAATTGGAAGCCTCATGGGAATATGCATCAGCCTAGAGCCAATCTCGGAAAGCACACATCCCAACAGAATCAAAAGACTAGAAGGCAGGGTGCTAGACAAGCTACAGCCAGTGAGCAGCTAGAGACTGCAGACACAGGCTACGCTGGGTCTTAACACCTCACCTCATGCTCCAACCGCATTGTGGAACATCCATACCTGCCTTTTTTTTCTCCTGAAACATTTGGGACTCTTCTGGTCCACTTTGATGCCCATTCTTGTATCTCCCCAAGCATGCCCTGGGAACCCAGGCTTTTACTTTAATTCTACTTGCTTTGAAAGAAACACGCCATGGGAAAAGAACATCCTAATAGTGCTTCTTTCTTCAGTTATTTTATGTTTTCTGTGTCCTGTAGTCTCTAAACTATGAGTACATAATCCCACATTGAATATGGTAAACTATACTGTACCTTTTCTAATCCAGGAAGCCTGACATAGAAAGCCATCTCTAAAAGGGGACTTTAGTCTGCGTCATTTCATGTTCAACCTCTATTTAGATTGAGAATATGACAAGGATACATTGAGAAATACAACAGGGATTGACAGGTTATAAATGTAGAGAGCAGGGAAACCCACTCAATGAATTCAAAACATTGTCAAGTCTACCAAACCAGGTTTCAAAGTAAACAAGTTTGTCAAGCAAGGCTTTGACTCATTCTCACATTGATGGACAATTAATAAAAGGGCTACAGGAGCCTGAAGGTCTTCTCAAGCCCACGTGAGATCAGTTGCACAACTGTCCTTGACAAAGAGAAGAAAAGTTACTTTGGCCACCTGCACAGTCTTCGGCGCTCAGCAGGAAAGTTTAACCAAAGACTAAAAGACTTCATAACAACCCAAGGGATCACACACCACAGATATTAAGTGTAAGTCTACAGGAGATGTTAGTAGACAAATATATTTCACTAATATTTTCTTCTTGATAAAAGGATGTTGTCCAGATGTAAGACATTAGACTTTGGCTCAATGAAGCATCTGCCTATAGCCAAGGGAGACCAGCCAGTGTTGTTTTAACATACACATGAAATGATGGTAAACATCTCTTCTCTCCCATCTAGAAGCCACATGGGAAGGGCACCATGCTGACATTTAGCTCATGCAAGAACTTTCAAAGGATGTGAAAGCTATGGTGGGTCCATTGCTAACTCTAATCTTAACCCTGGAGAATAACCTGAGAGGCCAAAGGAAAACCAGGAGTCTAATGGAAGGGGCTCTTGTGAGCAGATCAAGACAGTCTAATGGACTTCTGACATTTTAATCCCTCAAGACACCAGCCATGGACCTCCTTTCCTCTCTACATCTGACAGTTGGGATCTTTGAGGGAAGATCCCTGGTGGGGTACCCCAGTACTGCCACCTGACACCCCAAATACAGTTGGAAGAAGCCAGATTAATTGTTCCAATCCCAGTATGGTTCCTTCTTCAGAGAGGGTGAGGTAAGAACTGGCTAAACTGTTGAGGGTAAAAAGTCCTCAAACAAAAGGCATCAGTTGCTTTCTTGACAAAAAGCCAGAAGTGTCACTGGAACTCTCAGCAGTTTCATCCTCACCAGAGGTCAAAGATGCCAAACCTGTGTGGGAGCTCTGATGTCTGAGCTAAGGGAGTCCAGGGGCTTTAGGAAGGAGCAAGTTAAAAGTAGTAACTAAGGCCTGCTACTAGAAAAAGCCCTGTGGTCAAGAGAACAGGACCTCTGGCCTGCATGAAGGTCTAAAATTAAATGGAGGCAGGTGAATGTCTCCACCTAGAAACCACGCCTACAAAGCAGGGAGATTCACCTTGAGCCACACTAATGAAAAAGATGCAATAGTTAATTCTATGTACTAGGGGCCTGCCTTGGTCTTGTTGAATCAAGCAATAGTGAACAGGTACAGTGGGCTGGTGAGATGGCTCAGCCTTGAAAGGCTGGGCTCACAACCAAAAACTAAGAGGTAGACTCCTTCCCATTGCAGTTTCTCATTCAAAGATAGGACAGAGTGCATCTTAACGAGTTTAAAGAAAAGGGAAAATGGTGTTTTTTTAAAACAATAGCTCAGGGGGCTGGAGAGAAGGCTCAGCTGGTGAGAGCACTGGCTGCTCTTCCAGAGGACCTGGGTTCAGTTCCCAGCACCCACATGGCAGCTCACAGCTGTCTGTAACTCCAGTTCCAGGGGCCCTGATGCCAGTGCACATAAATAAAGTTTAAAAGTTTTTTTAAAAAAAGTTAAATAAGTTTTTAAAAAGCTATAGGTCAAATTTAAATAGGAACAACAAAGCAAAAGGATGCCATGAACTTGAAGGCAAGAAATGATTTATGGAGGGCTGGGAGCAGGGAAGGGAAAGTCCAAATGATGGAATTACAGTCCCGAGAAATTACCTGAGAACACTGAAACAGGCTTTATGGCCCCATGCTAGGGCACTAACAGTTTATGTTGGAGCACACCAAGGATCACCCAAACCCTTTCTCTTGGGCTGTACATTTTTAGCCAGCAAAATAACAGGCCAGTTAAGCAGGACCACAGCCATTAGTCCAGCTCTTCTGTTCTGGTTGAACTACTGGAACTATGGCAAATTGGTTTCTAGAAGGAAATTCACTTCTTTATCCAAAATCTTGGTTGCCCCAGTCTGTGGAACCCAAATAAACATTGATCAGGACATTTATCAATCACCTAAAACTGATTTCCTAACCGCTCACTGGCAATTTCAACTGCAGACAAAACAGGAATCCTTTCAACCTCATCCTTTTCTCTGCTGTGACTTCACTAGCCTGTAGGAAGGCAATGGACGCAGATTCCTACACTGGTTCCTCTACATCCGAAATCCCTAATAAAAGCCTGGGCTCTGTGAGGACACTCATTCCCTTGTCTTTTTCCTTCTCACTGACCTATATCTGTATTCTCAGCACTGAGTGACAGAGGCAGGTTTACATGTTCAAGGCAATTCTCAAGGACATAGTATCAGGCAAGCCTGGGCTACATGGCACATTGCTCTCAAAATAAATACATGAATAACCACTTGAGAAACATCAAATCAAGTCTGTTTTTTTTCTGGGATGTTTGAGACAGGGTTTCTCAGGGTATCCCTGGCTGTCCTAGAACTCACTCTTAAACTAGAATGGCCTCAAACTCAGAGATCCGCCTGCCATTGCCTCTGGAGTGCTGGGACTAAAGGCATGCACCGCCACCATCAGGAATAAAGTTCTTAGTAACTGGGAGTCACTGGAGAACAGAAGTGACACTGTGGTATTTGATTGAGAATCGCCCCATATGCCCTAAGTACTTAGTCATCAGGGAGTGGCACTGTTTGAGAGGGATTAGGTGGTGTGGCCTTGTTGGAGGAAGTGTGTCATTGCAGGTGGGCTCTGAGGTTTCAAGGGCCCAAACCTGGCCCAGTGGCCTTCTCTCTTCTTGCTGCCTGCAGATCCAAATGTAGAACTCTCAAGCACCTCTCCAGGACCATGTCTGCCTGCATGCCACCATGTCCCTCACCATTATTTATGACAATGAATTAAACCTCTGAAAATGTAAGCCAGCCCCAATTAAATGCTTCCCTTTATAACAGTTGCCATGGTCATGGTGTCTCTTTACAGCAATGGACACTAACACAGATTCCAACAACCAGTGTTTAAAAGAGGTAAAAATAAACCTTAAAAACACCTACCTATACTGACTGAGAAAGAGTAGGTCCTGTCCTGGTAGAGGGAATGTCATAAATAACTGACTGTATGATCTTCTCGGTGTAAAATGTTGGCTGCTGACTGATGGACGCTGACACACAAGCCACAGCCAGATGCCCTGTGTCTCAGTTCTCACTTGACTGAAGTGAGACAACCAGGATTGCACTTACCAACAGGAGAGAGTTGTCCTATCAGAAATTTCAGTGGCTCAAAGTAACATCCACAAACTGTACACACACCAATTTGGTTTTCCTTCATTCACATGAATGAATGAACAGACTGGGAAATACACAGAAAGGCGCTCGCCCTGTCCCATCAGATTCTTCTTCTGAAACCCCTGCAGCTCACTGTCTTAATATTAAACAACTTGTAACCAAGCCATTGCCTAGTCTGTTTCCCCTGTGATGTATACAATAAACTATTCCCTCTATTCTGGCCTCAGTGGAGACCAGACCATGCTCCAAAAACAAACAAGTTTCCTGTTACTGAAATGGACAGCCCACTCTGTGACTCAAATGGGTAGATTTTGCACTGTGAGGTGCCAAAAACCTTTAATTTAAGAATTGAGGTGTGGATTTAGGGGGACAGTAACGTCAATGGATTGTGGGGCTACACACTGGGATCCAGGCAACCTTAGAGCACACTATTAGATCTTAACAAAGAACATTCTCTTCAGTAATTACAAGCCTCCAGCTCTCCCTAACACACAAAGAGGAGCTGGCCAGGAACAGATTTGCTAACTCAGATACACCATAGGCTTATGCATTCCACATATGCTGTCAACCTGGAGCTGTGCTGTTTACTGCCCTCTTGCTAGCATGGTTTGCTCAGTTTGACCCTTATAGAACTCAGGACCACCTGCCCAGGGTGGCACCAACCACAGTGGGATGGGCCCCATCAATCATTAATGAAGAAAATACCCCATAGGTTTGCCTACAGGCCAGTCTGACTCTAGCTTGTGTCAAGCTGACCAAACCTAACTAGCATACCTCCTGAGTCATCTCTCAGCCCCCAAAGACAGATTGTTAAGCAAACCTCAACTCTCTTAACACTGGCTTTTCAGCGGGTACATGTGCACACACACATAAAGTTTTGAAAATCGGTCATGTATAGGACTGGAGAGATGGCTCAGCAGTTAAGACACTTGTTGCTCTTGCGGAAGTCCTGGGTTTGGTTCCCAGCACTAACCTGGTGGCACACAATCATCCCTGCATCCTGTTGCAGGCGATCGGATGCCTCCTTCTGTCTTCTGTGGGCACCACACACACACAGGGTGACCACATATATATGCAAATAAATCACTCATGCACGTGAAATAAATACATTTAGTAAATTAAAAATACTACTGCCATATCTCTCATATGTCACCATAGATTAAACAGCCAGAAATACAAAGAAATTTAGCAAATATCCGTAGCCCAAACTGTAACTTTACAATTAAAATAATCAAGGAATTCAAACAAAGGAGAGAAATTCCACAGCGTAGACAGGAAGTCTCAATATTGTGCCAGTACAGAATGTCAGTTATAGATTAAATATCAGTACAATAAAAAGTCTAATTTTTTTCCTATCAACAACAGAAAACTGATGACTAAAGGTAACCATGAATGAAAAAATTATCAACACAAGGCTGAGTAAATAGTACACACAGTGAAATCATGTGACTTCAAATCTTCGCACACAACTGCAATGAAGAGTGTACCGTGTGGGAAAGAATCAAGAGATCAACAGAACTTAAGGGCAAACTTAGAAATAAAGACTCAATTAATATAGAGTCAATGTGACACACGAGGCCAGGAAACCCTGTAAGTCTGGCCTTGCTGACACACGTGACTGGACCACCCTGGCATCCACATGCAGATGTGTTAATGACACAGACATTACGCCCTGCACAGAGTTAACTGCAGACGGATCTACACTTGAATGTTCAGTGCCAAGTGCAGAACTTCCAGAAGACACCAGAGTGACCAGGGCCCTGTCAGTTACCAATCTGCCTTCCCGGGCGACTAGGCTAGCGGCGCACGCACTTGCTTTGCATGGTGACGTCACAATAAGGCACTATCCACACACAGCATACCCTATCCCCGTGTTCTGCGCAGGCGCAGGCGCGATCCACAGAGGCAACTTATTCAGAGGCCGCAAGACCCGGGAGTTGCAGGAACCCTGAGGACCTCACGGGAGTCACGGGACCCCACCGGGCACGGCGTCAGGGCGCCGGTTCCCACGCCCCGTGAGGACCCCACCCGGCTCCCGAGCCTCCTCCCCGGGTGGGGACGGCGGCCGCTCGCTCACCATGGCCGATTCCGAGCTCGCCCCGCTCTCCTCGCAGCTCCCGGCCGCGGGTCACAGCGCAGGACATGGAACCCCAGCGGCTCCCTCAACCCAGAGCCTGGAGCCTGCAGCAAGGCAGACTGGAAGTGCCCGCCCCATTCTGACTGGCAGTCCGGCTGGAGGCCATGATTGGCTAGTGATGCCTGAGTGATGGGAGCAGCTCCTTTGGGGACAGAGTGCTGTGAAGTGAGGCAGCCCCATGATGCCCGGCCCTGGCTTCCACCCTAGGCCCAGAGCTGCCCCAGACCTGCAGAGATTGGCAACAGCCGCACTCACGCCTGGACTGCAAAGTCCCAGCTCTTTTCCTGCACTCAGTAGGCACGCCCCCTTCTTCCTCCTGGGCACAGGATGTTAGGTCTCAAACCGAGGACAGACAGCTGAGGAACCTAGTCAACGTACTGAAGCCATTTTATGAGAAAGTATCTGACCTCAGGTGTTACCCAGTAGGGCCAGAGTAAGTGTCTGGTCTGGGAAGACCAACCCTGCCACCAAACCCTTCGTAGTGCCATGGCAGCCTGCAGAGTGGGGTGAGGGGCTCCCCTATCCCAGCTAGAGAGAAAATTGTGGTGCCTTGATCCTTTGCAGGGACCAGGCGCTCTGGTAGAAGCTCCTCCTCAGTCCCTGTCATCCATAGCATATACCTAAAGAGTCTGGATGTTCAGGTGGAAGCCTCCCCTCTCTCTCCTCAGACCCGCCCCCCCAAAGCTCCCCAAACAGAAGCTCCGACCCCCTAGAGTTGCCCTCCTGTTACCCCCACCCCCTCAAAGGCCACCAAAAGCCAGCCCCTCCATGGGACCACTCAAGACCATGCCTACAAGTTATTTAAGGCCTGGCAGCCATATTTGCCATGTGACTTCCCCTGCTTTTCCAAGGGTCACCCAGGATTGCTTTGCTCTGTTCTTTAAACCTGGATTTATTAATTTGGCTGGATTGGCTTATTACATCGTCAGCAGAGGAACCCCACAACTGAGGATTTAAAACATCACCAGGCACCTGCTGAGTCAGACCTCAACTTTGTCTAGCTTCTTGGGAGTTGAAGACTCATTTTGGTGACACTAGTTGGGTTCACTATGAAACTGAGGAAGGACAAAGGAAACCTGTCAGTTTCAGGGATGGCCATACATCAGGCCAGCTGTTGTAAACGTAATATTATCTTCATTTTTGTAAAAAGAAAGTTTATTAAAAATGCACCAGAAATATGCAATCTCTTAAACTATTATTCTGTAGAAAAGGCCAATCAATGTATATACAGGGTATTAGTCAACTAAACCCTATGAGGTCAAAATTAGTTTGTAGTGCATTCCTGCTGAGCTCCTGGCCTGGTTCCAGAGAGTAGCACCTAGCTCTAATCCTTCCTTTGTTTAACCACACCTTTAGTTTCTCTTACCTTTTGTTTCTCATATTGCCCTATGTGAATCTTGTTTGAGAGTCAAGGATCAGAGAGTCTCTCAAGGATCAGAGAGTCTCCCAAGAATCAAAGGCCTATGCAAAAATTGGTTCAGGAAATCCAGGAAGACCATGGTACCTGAGAAATCAAGTAATTTACACTTGGTATTTGGTCTCTGGGAGCTACTTTTAGGTTGCTTTGAAGGAAGGGAAATTCACTGGCTAAAGTGTAAAAAAGAGTAAATAAAATGCCCAAGGTGAAGGGCAAGTGCTTCAGTCCTTCAAGACTGGACCCCCTGCAGCCATGAAAGGCTAGATTCATTCTTAAGATGCCTCTGAGTCTTCATTCCATGGACCCGCGTGAACCCACACACTCGTTCCTAACATTCAGTAACATTAGTTTTTACTTAATAATTCCATATTTACTATACAGCTTTGTAATATTCTGATGACTAAATTATACATATTTTACTGCCCACTGGATACATGAGTCTACAGATTCATTTTTCTCAGTTCTGCATCATTAGTAAAAAGTAAGCCACATTAAGAATAAGCATTTTTACAACATGCTCCTATTGTTTTATTTTCTTTGTCAGAGCCTCACTGTGTAGCCTTGGCTGGTGGGGAACTCACTATGCAGACCTGGCTAGCCTCGAGAACATGAAGATCAGTTTGCCTCTGCTGCAGAGTGCTAAGATTAAAGGCCTGCAAGACCATGCCTGACTTGTATGAATTCTGCACATTTACTCATTAAATAACAGAAGCTAGGTGTGGCACGCAACTGTGCTCTGCACCGAGGACACTGTTGCAGGGAGACCACTGTGAGGTTTAGGTAAGCCTGACTTATACGCGAGACCCTGTCTCATACGTGCAGCCTCAGCCACCCCAGCTTTTGGGACCATTAGCGTCAGTCTTTGTCCTGGAGTCCACGTGGGACTGTGGCACCCTGGCCTTTGCCCCCAAGTCCACTGTCCACTTTATGACACCCTGTCTGGCATCTGTGACGGTGCTGGAGCAGCAGCCAGCAGCAGTGGCAATGGCATGAAGAATCCCTGTCCAGCTGCTTTACTGCTGTGCTCCACTGCTCTGTGGAGGAATTTTATCCTGTGTCCTGCCTGCAGGCCTTCCGCTGAGGGTTCTTTAAAGCCACAAGAACACTAGACTGGCATGTTCAGTCTGGGTCACCATATGATTTCTAGCTCAGGTAATGTCCTTTCCCAGGGCTACTTATTTGTACCTGAACTTGGAAAATAGCAGGTGGAGTCACGTGCTAATCTGATTACAGAAGTGGTCGGCCAGTCAGTGACATCCCCTGGATGGATTAGAGGTGCATGTGGTATATTGTCACATCTTATAAACAATTGCTAAAGAGACTGAAAGCATAGGTGATGGGTGACTGAAGATGTCTTTCCCTTCCAAGATGACCCTGCTGGGGTCAAGTATCTTCACAATCCAGCACACTGAACATCTGACGATTTCAAAGCATAAGCTTATTGTTTATTTACACCATCTTACTTGTGAACATGAAGACTGCCATGATGACCATGACTAAGAATTTTATATAGACTTTTGCTCTTTTTTGAGGGTTCATTGAGTGAGTGCTCTTTGGCTGCCATGTTTTTTATTGCTAGAAAAGGAAATTAAATAAAACCACCTTCGAAGGGTACTGGCTCACCAGCTTCAGAAACCTGCAGTGCCTGCAGAGAAGGCTCGGCTGTCCAGACTGTGCTGCTCTTGCAGAGGACCTGAGGCTGATTCCCAACACACAGCATGGTTGTCTCACATGCCTATAACTGTGACTGAAAGGGATCTGACTCCTCTTATGTCCTCTGGGAGAACTAGTCATGCAGGTACATACATTCAGACATGCACAAAACACACATAAACAAACCTCAATAAAGAAATTGAAACAAGGAGAGAAAGGTTCAAACAATGTTAAAAAGAAACATACTATGAACACGGTATATATATTTGAGATCTATAAGGCATTTTTTTTCTTATTCACCACTCAGCTTGTGATATATTGTGTAGATGTTATGTAAAGAGCATAAATATGGCCTTGTATGGTGACATGTGCCTTAATCCTAAACCTTGTGGGGCAGAGGCAAATGGGTCTGTGACTTGTAGGCCAGATAGGACCACTCAGAAAGACCTGGGCTCAAAAATAAAATTAAACATGTAAGGAATTGAGGTGACAAATAGGAACTCTTCGTTCTAGGGAGACGAGTCTCTTGAATGTAGTTCTTGAAGATCACTAGTGTGTCAGGTGAATTTATTTTTCTCCTAGAGATGATCCTCATAATTATTTGAATGCTTTGTGTTGATAAAGTGTCGACTTTTAAATGTTTGAAAAAGTGAACCTGCCGATTTAAAACCGCAGAGATTTAGTACTTGGATTTGGGGGAAGAGATGGCACAGCTCCTAAAACTCTGCTGTCACAGGGGACTCAGGGCGACCCAGCACCTCTGTCAGGCAGGTACTTAGAGAGTCCATGAATCAAAAAATTGTAAAAAAGTAAACATCTCTATTTAATTAAGGTTTTTTTTTTCTTTTTGAGACAGGGTCTCTTTGTGTAGCCAATGTTGAACTTGCTCTGTAGAACTGGCTGATCTTGACCTCACAGAGATCAACCTGCTCTGCCTACTGAGTGCGGGGATTGAAGGCTTGAGCCACCACCACCCAGCTTTTTTAAGGGTTTTTGTTTGTTTACCTGTTTTGGGGGGTTGTTTTTTTGTTTTGTTTTGAGGAAGGCTCTCACTCTGGAGCCCCAGCTGGCATGAAGCTCACTCTGTAGCTCCATTTGACCTCAAACTCACAAATGTCTCCTTCCCTCAATCCATTGACAAGTGAATAATAGTGAAAAGGACAGTCAAACATGCATGGAAATGGAGGTGCTGTTTGTAAGCACTACTGTTATGTGAAGGTCTGCCTACACCTAAGGATGCTCTGTTAAGAGGTCCAATTCTGAACATGACCATAATGTAAAAGCAGGGACATTTAGGGGCAGCCGTAGCTGAAAGCTGTGCAGGAACAAATGTATAACATAAAAGTCATGGACAGAAATGCTTCTGGAATGTTCAGCTTGTACATAAACTCTTAGCTGAAAATCTAGTAAAGGATACATAAAAGTAGACTGCTTAGGAGCCAATGTTTCCTGTCAATCAAAATATATGATAAAGATTGACGTATCAATGCCAGAATTCTCACAAATATAAAGGACAGAGAGCACAAATACAGAAAACATCAAGGAAAAGTCACCGCTCAGCACTGAGAACGCCACTGTGACATGAACAACTCTACTGTGCTATTCTAACCTCAGAACAAGGCTGATTTGCCTCTGCACCGACTCACTCAGAGGAAGGCTATAGCGATTTCTATACAGTACCAGAAAGACATCATTCTATATAGCCCTGACTGCTGGATGGCTCAGGACAGTGATATCATTATAGAGAATTTCATTCTTTTATTTAATTTAAATTTTATTTTTATTAATTTTCATGTAATTACATCACTTTCCTCTTCCCTTTTCTCCCTCCATCCCTTACCATATTCCCTCCCTCCAACTCCTTCTTTGCCTCCCAAATTTCAAATTGATGGTCTCTTTTTAAAAAAATTTTGTTATATATGTAAGATTAAATATGTACAAGTATCAATGCAGCATGCTAAATCTGCT